CTGTTGCATTGTGGTAAACTGTGGTCAATGTCATGAGACAAAGTGTATGTGAACTGCTGTATGGAAAGTGAATTTGCTCTGTAAACCTTCACCCAAATCACAATCAATCAATCAATAAAAATGCCTATAGTACTTCTTCCAGTAAAGTTTACACCAAAAAATAAATGTAAGTATTTGGCAGGAAAATTCTGAAAAGAACATTAATGGGGATGTCTTGAGCCATACTCCATATTATTTATGAAAAATTACAGTACTTAAAACTGTCTGATACAGGTACAGCAATACATGGATCAACAGAACAAAACACAATCCAGAAATAGGCCCAAGTACAAATCAAAATTTGGTAAGTAATTAAAATCACATTTCAAAATCACTGGGGAAAGGACAGATTCTTAGTATACAATGAACCCTTAGAAACTTGAGAAAGAGACTAACAACCTGATAGAATAACAGATAAAGAACATCAATAACCAGTTTACAGAAAAATATAAATGACTCAAACATGGGGGGACAAAAAAGAGAGTTGTAGCCTCAAAGTTACGATACGTTCTTGGCCACAGCTAACTATCCTGAGGGGGTGAGTAGTTGGACCTCAGGGCTTGGGACCATGGATGCAGGGGACATCAAGCTCAACTAGCATAACATACTACACAAAAACATTGTTCTACATCTTACTTTCATAAGTAGCAACTGGGGTCTAAAAAGCTTGCAAGCAGCCATCTAGATGCAACAATTGGTCTCTCCTCCTCTGGAGCAAAGAAGAATGAAGAAAATCAGATGCATGAAAACAGTTAGTCCAAGGGACTAGTGGGACCATGGGAACCTCAGCCTATATGACCATGAGACCACCCTCTCATGGTCTCGTGGTCATATAGGCTGAGTTTCACAGATCAGAAGATGGTCTCATGGTGCCTGGCTACTGCTGTCAACCACTTAGAAAGCTATCAGTACAGGAAGTCCTGGATAGAGTGGGAGAACAGTGTGGAACAAAACTCAAAACCATAAAAAAGACCAGGTTTACTAGTCTGATAGAGCATGGTGAGACCCCTGAGACTGTGGTTCCTAGTTACCCCTTCAGGTCTGGAATTGAACTCACTCCTGTGGCTTCCAGCCCAAGGTTGTCATTGTTATGTGCTGTCAAGTGAGACCTGACTCACAGCGACCTCTCCTTGGGTTTCCAAAGCAGTATCACTATGGAAGTAGATTACCCAACCTTCCTTTCGAGGAGTGGGTTTGAACCACCAGCCTTCTAGTTAGCAGTCAAATGCCTTAGGCACTAGTACCAGAGGCATATAATAAGGTGAACTTTACTTCATACAGACACACTCCTTAGAACGATCAATCAATTGGAGAACAGAAGAGTGGTGGAGAAGAGTGGTGTTTGCATAGGACGATAGCTCAGGGAGTGGGTGAAAAGAAGGGGCAGGAAAGAACAGGAAAGAGGTAACTACAGGGAGGAAGTGGGAAGAGAGCTGTTGCACCATGGAGAACTGCAGTCAAAGTTATGAAACAAAATGTGTATGAAATGGTGTATAGAAAATGAATTTGCTCTGTGAACGTCTATCCAAATCACAGTAAAAATTAAAGGAAAAAAAAAATAGTTCTAGCCTCACTCAATTAAAGGGAAAGAAATTAAAACCATAGCAAGTTGCTATTTTTATCACCAGGATAGAAATGATCAACAAGTTTGATAAAACACTTTTGGCTATTATTGTTGGCTAAGGTATAGGGAAATAGGTACTCCTTACTTCATGGTTGTAAGGTATATTTAACCTTTTAGAGGTAATCTGGTAACATCTATTAAATTTCAAATGCCCTCTAATTCAACAATTCCACTTTGATGAATTATTGTATAGGTATATTCACTTATGTACACACAGATGTCTCTACCAGGACATTATCTGCAGTATTGTTATAATAATGGAAAGCTAGATACAATCTAACTGTCCATTAACAAGACTGGTCATATAACATTGTGATTCCTAACATTTTATACAAATAGAGTGATATTTGCTGTTACAGAATAATCTTCAAGCTATATACTAAGAACACTTACTTTTCATTTGTATTCTCTTAGGCATTATTGAACGTTAATTTTTTTAACCATGTATATGTATTACTCTTTCAAATACTAAAGTAAGTTTTTTTAAAAAATGTTTTTTACACAACAAAATAAAAGGCAAAGAAATTTACAAATTAAAGTTAGTTGGTTTACAGTCTGTAATATACCTATAAAGAAGGAATGAAAAAAAAAATTAAATAAACAGACTGATGATTAAGATGTAATTATCTGTCTTCTGAATGAAATAAATTGTCTTCTATTATAAAGTTTGGTTTTGATTATAAAGTCTGATAATTGGAACAACACATTTTGTAATTGAGATTTACTCTTGCATTGCTAAAATGTAATTAAACCAAAAACCCACTGTCACTGAGTCAATTCCAACTCACAGTGACCCTATATGACAAGGTAGAATGGCCTGATAGGGTTTCCAAGGCTGTAAATCTTTCCAGAAGCAGACTGCCTCATCTTTCTCTCACGGAGAGGATGGTAGAATTACCCAGTGCATATTGATAATTTTTCCTTCTTGAAAAAAAAATAGAACAAATCTGTCTAATCAGATAATCCACAGGTTGATATTGTCTTTTTTTAGTGCATTTATCTAAAATCAACAAAATCTGAAATAACATGGAAAAGATGAAACATACAGAATACAAAAAAACTTGCTACATGTAGTATACTTACAATCAAATCTCTTTTATGCTCTATACAGGTGACCAAAACAGAGAAAAAGAGTCGAAGAAATGTCTATCAATTATTTAACCTTAGTTTTAATAAAATGCATTTAACCCTTTTCCTTGGTAATGGCAGCTTTAAAAAACTATTTTAAAGCAGATTTTAAACTTGAATGAAAAGTCAAATTAGTCAGATGATGGCAATTTTTAGAAACTCTAAATTCTTTATTTAAGTTAGAATATGGTAAAAATTCTATGTTAGATGTAAGATGTATTAGAGTAAGTTAAAATCTAAACATGGTAGAATATGTTAAAATATGATTTTAACTATCCTACCTTCTGATTGTCTTAATGAGGAACAGAAGTTACCTGAAGTTGATGGACAAATCCAGCATTAGGATTAATACAAAATCTTCTTTCTTGAACATAAGCAAATGCATCTCTGAAAAAAAGCAAAAAAAAAAAAAGAATGAGGTGGCATTAAGTTTTCATGAATTAATTTCACTTCTTCCAGATTTATCTAAAATAGATTACTTAAAACAGGAAATCATATTATATAAATTGTACCACAGAAGAGTAGTAAACTATAGTGAAAAAAAACTCAACAGTATGGTCAGACAGCATATCACAGCTCTTCTTAACAGGAAGAATTATTATCTACTTTGTGTTTCTGTGAGGCTTAAATGAGATAAAAGTACCTATAATCACACCTGGAACAACAGATGGAAGTTATTTTCACTATTAATACTATTACAGACAAAATACCAAATAATAAATATATAAAAGTCCATCAATGAATATTAAATCTTTTTCATTATGTAAACAAAGCATTTGTTTTCAAATAATATTCCTTTAAAAACTGCTGTTTTTAAACACAATTTCCATTATAAGCATAAAACACACCAGACAAATTAAACAAGCATTTCCATGTCTATTATGTGTTAGGCACATGGATCCAACCAATTATGAATATAGCCCAAATGGAAACAGAGATGGAGAACATGGTATGAGGACTAAGATGTTAATAAGGCTGATGTCATGTAAAATTTCACTCACCATGTTAAAAATTATTAAGGATCAGAGACATTTTGCGAGGTTTTAGGGGTAAGGATTATTTACTTAAAAGATCATTTTAACTGTAGTGTGGAGTGAAACAAGGAAAGGATGAATGAGACCACTCAGGAGGCTTTTAATGGAACAGTCTTAAGAAGGGATGACTGAAGCTTTAATTAGAGAATTAGAATGGTGATGAAGAAGGAGATAAAGAGATAGAGTTAAAATATTTGTTGTTGTTGTTGTTATGTGCCGTCGAGTCGAACTCAATTCACAGTGACCCCTCCTTGGGTTTCCGAGGCAGTATCACTTCGGAAGTAGATTGGCCCATCTTCCTTCTGAGGAGTGGCTGGTGAATTTGAACCGCCAGCCTTCTGGTTAGCAGTCAAGAGCCTTAGGCACTACGCTACCAGAGCTCCCAAAATATATTTAGGAGATAAAATAGTATTTGGTACTGGATACAGCTTGGAAGCTGAAGGAATGAGACAAGGAGGTATCTGCAATTACACAAGATTTCTAACTTGTACAATAAGACACTAAGAAAAGAAACACTGTACACTAGTCAAATCTGTTTTATTTTGGAGAGAGAAAGAAGCTCATGAGCCTCTTTTTTTTTTTTTTTTTAATTTATGTAGTATGCTTGCAAATGATGATTCTGGATAAGACTATACTGAAGTGAACAGAAGCTATAGACAAATCCTAGGTAATTTTCCATCCAGCTGCTGTCACAGGAAAACATAATAAATAAATAAGCCTTTAAATTATGAAAGCTACTAATATTTGTGTCCACAAGTTTTTAAACTCAGACTAACTACTTCCCTAATGGTAAGACAGTAGTATTCCATCAGTGTTATTTTGTTTTCTTAAAATAACAACAGTTAGCACCAGCCCCATAAAAACATGAAAATATTAGTGTAAGCAGATCTATAAAACCCAAACCACAAAGATTAAGAGACTATGTTACATAACAGTCTGCCTAATCAAACATGACTACATAACATAATTATGGGGGAATATGAACTTCAAACTCCCAAATCACCTGTATTAAGTTTCATTTTGGTGAGAATTTAAATTTTGGCTAGGTTTCAGAGTACTTTCTTACCTGTATTTCATTCCAAAGGTTTCCATTATGTATGCAATGACAAAGGCAGCACTGAAGAACAGAAAAAAATTTTAGGAAAAAAAAACACACAGAAAATA